TATATATATATATATATATATAGTAAGTTAGTATAAGAATATAATTTATCTTTAATAAATAGAAAGTTGAATTCAGTTTATTTAGTATCTTTTGTTTCATGTGAGAGAGGAGAGGTCAAAATTAAACCTAAAACAGAAGAAATAATATTTTTATAAAGGAAATTGATGAGAACCAGTGATAAATTTGAAGAGTGATTTGAATTCTGAAAAGATGATCAATACGGTTTGACCATTTTTTTTAATATTTATTAGTATTTAATGATTGCACTTAATTTTAAATTTATATAATAATTAGTATTCAATTTGTGATTTCTTTTTTGAGACTATAAAAAGAGACCTGAAGGAGATGGTAGAGGTGTGACGGTGCGTTATGGCGACACGTTGCGGCGGTGCATTGCCGCGGCGCAACGCGGCGACACTACATGGAGGGGCAATGCATTGCGGCGGTGCGTCATGACAATGTGGTGCAGCAAGACATTGTGGCGACGTGACGTGTTGGCAGGGGTGTTACAGCGATGTGATGTGTTGCAGCGGTGTGTCACGTCGATGCATTGCGGCGGGGTGACACTTTGTGACGGTGCGTCCGACGACGTATTGCAGCGTGGCGACGTGTTGCGGGAAAGTGTTGCGGTGCGGCAACAAAATAAATATTAATTTTGTTGAAAATAATATTTAAACGAAATTAATTTTGTTTTTTTAAAAAGAATTATTTGACATAGAAATTGTGTAAAATTTATGGTAAATTTGTTATGCAATGTGGATACCATCACCATATTAGAAGCAGATGCAAGTGGACATTCCACTTGATTGAAATGTATGGTTAAGACTGTCTGCTGAAGTCAAGTCATTTTTTCGAAATGTATTGTTGAGACCGGAAGCATTTTTCGTTTAAAAACATTATGATCAATACAGATTTCATGAAAGCAATAAATATATTGAAAGATTTACATACATACCACATAATTCCTATGTATTTACATATCTAAAACCTAAACAACAAATTTTACTTGTATGACCATTTGCATATATTTGAAAAGGTGTCATTAAGATAATTTTTATATCAAAGTTTTACTGAAAATAATTTTTAAACGAAACTAAATTTCATTGAAAAAAAATGTCATAGAAATGAATGAAATTTGACTATCATATATATATATATATATATATATTGTACTGTTCATCATGATTAATAATATTTGTTAAATTTAAAAATTATATGGAATGATAGATATGAAAATAAAAACTCAGTCACCTCATCTGAGCCGTGAAGTCATTAGTCATTAGTCATTTGCACTAAATGTTTGGTTGATTGAGGAGTCGTCACATATCTTTCTTAGTTAATATAAATAATAGAAATGCATTAACTTAAGACCACCCAAACTTTCAAAGTACCTCTAAAGACCTGTAAAGACCAAATATTCATCATTCATTAAAACATTCTAAAATATATGCACTAACACCCTTCAAATGCAGCAAAATGTGAAATTCGATTATACTGGTGCTTTAAGAAATGTGCACACTGTTTGAGAATGTTGTGCGGTTAGGCCTAGAATAAATCAAATTAACCTCATGTGCTCTGATCTGCATGCTGAAGGCTCAAATTATGATTTCAAAGCAGAAAATCTTAATTAATGTTTGAGTTATTGGTGATCTATTGCATTGCATGCATTGGATGATTCTAATTGGTGACAGTTATTTATTAACAAAACTAGTATTTTAAAATGGTAAATTATTCAATGCTTGATCATTGGTAATTTTTTCATGTTTGATGAATAAATAAATTATCATAGAAATTGATGAAATTTGATTCTCGTATAAATTTTATATTGTTAATCATTATTAATAACATATCTTAAAAATTATATGGAATGATTAATATATAAGAAGCAAAAAAAAAGGATAATTTTTTTTTCTTCATAAAACATTATAAAAAGGAATGTAGATCACCATCATTTCATTCTGAAACGGTCAAGAAAAAAACTTAACATATCGTGACTCCAAAAATGCATTAATTATGTGATTGACTGGAATTCCTCTAGTTTTGTGATTAACAGTGTTTCAAGTACTATGTATGCAGTTTTCCCTTCTGTTTATAAATTCAAAAAGGCAGAGGTGGTGATGTAGCTCTCTTTCTCTTGTTAGATTCATAGTTTCTTGGCATATAAATACATATCACTGATATTCAATGGTGGAAGTTATTGGTGTCATCAGACTCTTAATTATTCTCTTCTGTATTTGTTTATCTTCCAAACAATTGTTTGCAATTATGCAGCTTCAAGCACCATGACAGAGTCACAGCCTTGGATCATTGTTCTGTCGGGTTGGTCGGTCCTATTCCTCCTTCCATATTCAATCTCACCTTTCTAAGAAGGCTTGATCTCAGCATCAACATGCTCTATGGTGAGATCACTCCAATTATGGCTTGCTTACCACGACTACAACATCTTAACTTGAGCTTTAACTCATTTGATGGAGACATTCATGCTATTCTGACGATTAACCATAGCTCTGTTCTCCAAGTTCTGGACCTTAATAGCAACCATATGATCACAGGAAAAATGCCTCTTGTTATAAACTCCATGTTGCCACTCAAATACCTCAATCTCAATGAAAACAAAATTATCGGCACCATCCCACCTTCACTTACCAATCTATCCTTCTTGGAAACTTTTTATGCCTCATATAACCATCTAGAGGGAGGCATCCCACCAGAGATTGGTGTTCTTCAAAAGTTGAAACATTTTAATGTGGCTGCTAATAAACTTTCAGGTAACATTCCTTCTTCATTCTACAACATATCATCGCTGCTCATCGTTTCGGTGACAAATAATTACCTCTCTGGTTACATTTCAGCCAATATTGCCCAAGCTTTTCCAAACCTTCAAGCCTTTCTTATTGGTATAAATAATTTCCTTGGCTCACTTGATCAAGCTCTTCAAAATGTGACTAGCTTACTCCTTTTGGACATTAGCAGAAATAATTTCATAGGAGTCGTGCCACCAAACCTTGGGAAAATGCATAATCTTATAAACCTCGGTATGGGAAGTAACCAACTTGAAGCAACTGATGCAAAGGAATGGAGATTTCTTGAGTCATTAACAAATTGCACCAGTTTACAAATGTTAGGACTTGAAGATAATAACCTTCGTGGAAGGCTTCCGAAATCATTTGGCAACCTCTCCAGTAAGCTTCAAGAAATAACATTAGGAGCTAATGACATTTTAGGAAGAATCCCATTTGAACTTGATAGGTACACCAATCTAATTGCTTTAGGTATGGAGCTGAACCTTCTCGAAGGTCCTATACCCGAGACCATTGGAATGCTTGGAAGGCTACAAGCTTTATTTTTTAATGCGAATGATCTTACGGGAATTATTCCTTACTCCTTAGAGAATCTCACAAGCCTTAGCGAGTTGGATTTAAAATCTAATCAATTAACAGGCCCTATACCTTCAAGCCTAAAAAGTCTCCAGCATCTCACTTTAGATCTGAGTTATAACAATCTAATTGGTTGGATTCCGAGAGAAATTTTTTTCATTCCTTCCCTTTCATTTTTTTTGGATTTGTCTTATAACTCTTTGATTGGGTCTCTACCACTAGAAGTTGGTCTTCTAATAAATCTCATCTCCCTTGATTTTTCTAATAATAATTTGAGAGGGGAAATTCCAAAAACATTTGGAAGTTGTCAATCATTGCTAGAATTATATATGGAATACAACTTCTTCCAAGGCCCCATCCCTATTTCTTTAAGCAGTGTGAAGAGTCTTGAAATACTAGACCTTTCACATAATAATTTATCAGGTGTTATTCCTCAATTTCTACAAGAACTTATCTTTCTTTAGAAGTTGAATCTATCATTTAATAATCTTGAAGGTGAGGTGCCATATGAAGGTGTCTTTGCAAATTCCTCAGAAATATCTCTCATTGGAAATGAAAAACTTTGCGGTGGAATTCTAACACTTCATTTGCCAAAATGTGTTGCCAAAACATCATCAACAAAACTTCATCATTTAATGAAAATTTTATCCCCTATCCTTAACATTGTAGTTATTTTGTTCATCCTTTTGTTGTGCTATACTTTCCTTTATAGAAGAACAAACAAAAAAGATTTAAGAAATGCTTATGGTTTATCTTTAAGCCCTCCATTTCCAAAAATTTCCTATGCACAGTTAGCTGAAGCTACAAATGCTTTCTCCACTACACATCTAGTAGGATGTGGAAGATATGGCTCTGTTTATGCAGGCAACTTAAGAGATTATGATTTTTTTGTGGCTATTAAAGTGTTTAACCTTGAGGTTCATGGAGCTTTGAAGAGTTTTACATATGAATGTGATGCATTAAGAAGCATACGACATCGTAATCTTGTACGATTCCTAAGTTCGTGCTCGAGCATTGATATTCAAGGAAATGAATTTAAAGCATTGATCTTCGAATTCATGCCCAAGGGAAACTTAGACATGTGGCTCCACCGAGAATATGAGATTGATGAAGATAATGTTTTCTCTTTGGAAAAAAGATTAAGTATTGTCATCAATGTTGCAGAAGCTTTGGAGTATCTTCACCATAGTTGTGAACCACCAATAATTCACTGTGACATAAAGCCGAGTAACATTCTACTCGATAATAACATTAATGCACATGTGGGTGATTTTGGACTCTCAAGAATGCTTTACGAGAATGTGAATATATCCCTTCAAGATTGTTCCAACAAAAGTGGCATTAAAGGAACTATTGGCTATATTGCCCCAGGTGATGTGATGAATCTTCTTCTCAATGTTAACACTAATCATGTAATTTCCTCTCAAAGATTAATTGTATTTCAAAGAAATATTTTCTCAAAAATTATATTTGCATTTTATCTACAGAGAATGGAGAAGTAGCTCCTAATCATGTAATTTCCTCTCAAAGATTAATTGTATTTCAAAGAAATATTTTCTCAAAAATTACATTTACATTTTATCTACAGAACATGGAGAAGTAGCTCCCCTGTCTCCATCTGCTGATGTTTATAGTTTTGGAATAGTGTTACTAGAGATGCTTATTGGTAGAAGGCCTACTGATGATGTTTTCAGTGATAACTTAACTCTACGTAATCACATTAAAATGATGTTTCCTCATGGAATCAATTGCATAGTAGATCCTAAAATGTTTACAAAAGAGCAAAGAGATGCTATCAAAGGGGGTGGAGAACAACCAAGATGGTTTAGTTGCCAAAGCATCAGCATATGCTTGCTCTCCTTGACAGAATTAGGTCTCTGTTGCACAGTTTCATCTCCAAAAGAAAGGCCTTCCATGAAAGATGTTGCTACAAAATTACATGCAATTCGAGTTTCTTACATACCTTCAGGGTGATGAAAATGATATGTTCTTGAAGAACAACAATTGATATGCTCTTGAAGAAAAGCTAGCATGTGGAAGCAACATCTTTTAGTTGTTTGTGTTTTTAATATTACTTTCAGTATGGGATGAAATATATGTAGGAATATGCATGTAGATAGACATAGCTTATTTCTATTTTGTGAGAATTCAACATCAATTTATTAATGAATTGCACGTAATTTTGAGTGATATGGATGTAAATATAAATGTTCAAGGGTTAGATATGTAAATACATAAGAATTATGTGATAAATGGGTTTAGGTATTAGAAATGTAGATACATAGGAATTGGGTGGGATGCATGTAAGTTTGAAATGAAGTAAACTGCCTTGGAATTCCACAATGGCTTAGACTTGGACTTGGAAATGTTATTAGATAATTAAATGAGGTGATAACGCAATGCTTATGCAATTCCGACTTTTTTGTAAAATCAAGTAATCAAATATATATATATATATA